TGTTCTTAGACACGTTGAGAGATAGTATCTCTCTCGGTTGATTCAAAGGAAGGTCTGTTTCCTTTGAAGGATTCGTTGAGGTTCGTGTGACTCGAACTCTCAAGTTGTAACGGTTTGTTAAGCACCCGTAAGCTTAACAAGTTAGTAGTGTAGCTCGAGAGAGTCTCTCGGGAGGCTGGATTAGCCACAAGTTGTGGTGAACCAGGGTAAAATTCGGTGTGCCTTTTACTCTTCTCTTTACTTCTCTCTTAATTTTTTAATTCTTGCGATTTCTCCGATCAAACGCTATTCACCCCCCCTCTAGCATTGGTCTATTATTCTAACAAGAGTTACCTATATGATCTTTATGAGAAAGAATAGCATTGAAGTCCCCAGCAACCAGCCATAGGTCTTCCTCTACAAAGTGATCCTCAATATCTTTCCACAGTTTTCTTCTATCAATATAACTATGTCTTCCATAAACTGATGTGATTACCACTTTTTTGTCTGATTCAACTTGCTTGAACATACAGGTTACTGCTTGGTCACCTAGACCTGGCAAATCGGTCGGTCAGGTCGGGTTCGGGTTCGGTCACCTTGGGTTCGGGTTACTTCGGGTTCGGTTAAGTTCGGGTTTGGGTTGATAACTACATGTTCATGACCCAGTATTATCGGGTTCGGGTTGACCCAACGGGTTATGAGTATCATTTATTTTTTTAAAATTTTAAGTAATTTTTATGACTTAGTGTCAATATTACGAATAAAAAAATTTAAATATGTAGAAATTTTGAAAAAATGTAAGATAAGTATGCGACATCATTAAAATTTGTTATGATATTATAAATCTATACACAAAAATGAGTAGTAAGCAAAGAAATATAATCATAATCCTATTTTTATAACACTATATTTCATATTAAAATGTATGATTCTGAAAAAATCTTAGATTAGCGGGTCGGTCAGGTCGGGTTCGGGTTCGGTCGGGTTGACCCATTTTTAACGGGTCATTTCGGGTTCGGTCAACTTCGGGTTCGGTCAGCAAAACCTTTGTTCAAAACCCAATATTTTCGGGTCGGGTCTCGGGTCAAAAACAGGTCAGGTCATTTTTTTGCCAGGTCTATGGTCACCCATTTTGGTGTCAGTGAGCTGAAGGGTATGATTGTCCCAGAAGATCCAGGCTTTATTATCCAGGGCAGAGAGGTGGTTGGAAAAATTAAGAGAGAGAGTATCTGGAGAGTTTTTTGTTGCTAACTAGGGGTTCTAAAATAGCAAGAAAGGAAATTTTGTGAAGTTTAATGAGGGATAGAAGTCTTGCTTGGGAAGAAGCTATCCCTCTAATATTCCAGAAAAGAAAATTCATTAGAGAGGGATGAGGTGGGAATGAACTCCATATATCTTGCTCTGACTTCTAGTGAGGACACCATATGAGGGGATAATGTTGTTATGAGCCAAAGCCTTGATTCTCCTATCTAACTGAACAGGAAGAGAAGTGACACGTGAGGTGTCTTGAATGGATGGAAGCTTTTCCCCCTCTGAGTGGTAGTGAGGAGGGATTTCTTCCTCATCATCTTCAATTTCCAATGCACCCTCATCAGGTCCAATAGCATTTATTATGGTTGAAGTGGCACGGCTTGAGTCCCCCTTTTTTTGAGTGTCATCAAGACTTCTGTGAGTGAGAGGACCATGTTCTTCACAAAGGTGACTAAGAGGTGAGAATTTGTTGTGCAGAGGAAGTGGCTCATGTTTATGGATTTCTTTCTTTTCAGCTGTTTCTGAGGTGTGGGTGAAAATTATTCTGACTTCCTGTAATTCCTTCATAGCCATGGGAGAAGAGGTGCTCTCTATGCCTTGCACAATTGGCATTGGATTGGCTCCATTGTGAAGGAGGGGGCAGGTTACTGGGAGAGGGCCCAAAGTTACTGATTTTGCCCTCTGGGATAGTACTTTGTCTTGTTCTGCTTGATATTTAGCTTTTGGTATGACTTGGCTGATAAGTGGTTTGGGTTTCCAATAATGAATTGGTGGGATAGAGTAGGCTCCAGGTTTTGTATTTTTCTTTTTGGTAACAACCAGCCACTCCTGATCCTTCTGACAGGGGGTGCCCCCATGGACACCTGGCCCTTCCCGGCGGTGAGGTTTTGCAGGTACTCTCACTATGACCTAAGGTAGAGCATGAATGGCAAAACGAGGGCACCTTTTCAAATGTGCAGGGGAGCAAGAGTACCTTATTGTCTAATGAAACATGGATGCCAGAGGGAAGAGGAGCTGAGATATCAACAATGACACATGCCTTGGCAGAATCAAATCTGTGATGAAGAAGCGTATCTGAATCTACCTTCAAAGGGGTGCCAAGCAGGAAAAAGAGCTGATATAGGGCACCAACATCAAGAAGATGCAGAGGTAATCTGTTGATGGTTACCCAAAGAGGGATGTTGGGATTTTCCTTTTTGGAGCTGTAATCTTGAGACCATTTGAAAATCTTGACAGGAACACCATCAAAAAACCAGAGTCTCTTAAGGAAAAATCTTTAGAAGTCCCATTCTTCTTTGAAGTTGAAAAGGATGTCATTACCATCAAGATGTTGAAGTTGGAGGGAGTCTTCAAAACCAATTCTATTCATAGCCTTCCTTATGAGCTTCAGGTCCAGTCTCCTGTTGCACCTACCCACCAGAGCAAATCTGAGCTTCAAGGCTAGATGGTTGGTTTCTTCAGCATTGAAAGAGATGGATGGATTGCCTCTAACCTTGCCATGAACCTGTCCCAAACTCCTGTCTGATGAAGACACCAATTTGGAGAACTGTTTCCTTTTTTCTTGTGCGTATGACTTTCTATAATATGGTGATTGATCATACCTGTTTGGCTTTGAAACGTGAATTGTTTTAATTGCCGGAGTTCTGGTCGGAAAACCAGAGGATTCCGGTGACTTTCTCACACTAAAATCCATCATTCATATATATATTAAAAAGAAGAAAAGTACAGGAGGTGGGGAGGCCAACCCCGATAAAAGGCCAAGAAGAAAGGTAAATGCAATAGCAAATAAAAGACCAAAAGGGTCTAAACAAAAGGGGGGCAACACCCAAAACGTCTTCTTCTACTTGACCCAAACTTCACAGCAAATGCTAATAGTGTGTAGGACTTAGCCCACTGTAGTTGTCTCTAGAAAGGGAATCTTCAGGTGGCAGCCTCCAGATCCATACTTCAATAATGTAGAGTTCTTCCAAGAGAAGTTTTGATAAATGAACTCCCAAGCGCAAGTGAAAAAGCCTCCATGTTTGAGTCTACAGCCTTTAAGCTTTGTGCAGGGCTATGTGGTACAACCCTCCCATACACCAACAGTATGGTAACATGATAAAAGGAAAAACCATCAAAATGGGTAAACATGACACCAGGCTATAATGCAACCCATACCCTTAGCTAGTCCTTCCTATTTGACCAATCTCCAGCAATCTTCTGCAACCATAATTCCCTTCAACCCTAAGCAAGTACATAGCAAGCCCATGCCAAGAAATGGTAGTTCCCAACCGAGAACAACATCCATGATAATCGTTCAAAAGCCTCTAGAGCGAGATCAATCAGATTCATCATTTTCCTGCCCTCCTGCCTTCTTCTTTTTGAGTTTCTTTTTAGACTTTTTCTTTTGGCTCTTGGTTAAAGGCTTATTTGTGAACTGTTTCTTGGTTGCTTTAACTGGTTTGTTTGGACAGCATTCCTTGAAAAAAATCCTAATGTCTTCTGCATAATTAATCTCTGAGCCATCTGACCTTTCCTCCCATCCCATTGGTGTTTTGTTCCTACCCTCTTCCAAAATCTTTGCCTTACTTCGAGTTACTATTTGAGAAGGAAAGTAGATATATATATATATATATATATATATATATATATATATATATATATATATATATATATATATATATATATTTTAATAAAAGTGTTTATTTTATAGATTATCGAAAAAGGGAGACAGCACCCTGGACAGGAGGGGGAAGTAGATTAAAAGAAATACATGGACTATAGAAATTGTGTTGACTAGCCCATTTAGCTAAGTGGTGGGCTCCCATATTCCCTTCACGAAGTATGTGAGATATCTTGTGTCCTCCTCGAGTAAAGGCGTTATGGAGTGATGTCCAGAGTTCGTGGTTGATTCCTGGATTTTTGTATCTGGAGATTGACTTGGTCAGAATTTCCGAGTCAGTGTTGGCACAGATGATTCTGCCAAAGTGTTCGGCCCAATCTATTCCAAAAGCCAGAGCTCTTGCTTCTCCTTGCAAGGTGTTTGTTTCTTCAATCTTCCACATTCCAGCTGCTATGAAAACTCCATCTCCTCTGCGAAGGATTGCACCTGCCACCGCGTGAGTGTCTTTGATTGTAACATCTGTGGAGAGGTGTAACCGGTTGTCCAAAGTGTTAGTCCATCTGTGTATTTTAATGCTTGGATTTCTACGATGCAGGGATAGTAGTTCCAGGGGAAGTCTCCA